CCATCATCACTATTATCAATATAGTGTACAATTTTGAATATCGAATTCTTTTTTGGCTTCTTTTCTAGTTCTTGCTTCTTCATTTTGATTTTGTGAGTCATAGTGAACCAATGAGCTTTTCTAATAGAAGTTTAGTGTGATCTTTAGCTTTTTGAATTGCCATCACCTTTGCTTCTTAAGACTTTGACAATGACCTAAGAGTTTTGCTCATAATATTGGTATTACTATAAGTCTTACTAAGAAAATACAAACATTATTGATAGTTTTCATTCTAGTAAACATATTAGTTATTAATTCATTTGGAATCATTTTGAATAACTCATATTAATGTATAAGCATATTAATTTTGGATTTTTTAAACTTGATTAGTACCTTCATGAGTCATTTCTAAAGCATGCCATATATCCTTAACATTTTTACTAGATGATATTCTATTAAACTCATTTATATTCAAAGCACAATACAAAATGTTCATAGGTTTAACATCCATAAAAAAGATAACTTCTTATCACCATCGGTATACTCACTTCTACGTTTAGGAATTATTATATTATTTTCAATCTTAGTAGGCTTGTGGGGTCCATTTTCAATGGATAACCATAAATCATAATCAATGGATTGAAGATAGATAACCATCATAATTTTCTAATAAACATAATCATTGCCATCAAAGAAAGATGACCTGAAGGTAGATGCTCCTTTATTTTGAACATTGTAGTTAATGATTGCCATTTTACTTAAGTTTAAGCAAACTTATATGTACGAGAATTAAGCTTTGATATCAACTATTGTTATAGGATTAAAACAATAATAACACCTAGAGGGTAAACTAGGTGTTTCACTAATAATGCTAAATAATACAGATAATCACACTAAACACATATAACATAATAATCAACAATATAATTAAAGTGTTTAAAGTAAAAAGATAAGGAAAAAAAATTACAAACTTAGTTTTCGATGTGATTCGATAAGCCTACATTCACATCTCAAGTACCAACTATACTTGAGTATTAAGACAAAATGCCCTTGATGAATCCACACCAATCAATTTCATCACTTAAAGATGTTCCCTTTTCAAGATTTTTTTTAGTGATAATACCTCACCAATTGCCAAGAGTTTATTTAAACTCTCAAGAGTTTACAATTATGATTTGTTTACAATAAAATGCACTCGTTGAAGAAGTATAATATACAATAAAAACTATAATCTCTATGGCTTACTTAATAACACTTAGGACAATTGAAGGTGTGTAACTGTAATGAGGATGACATTTTATACTTTTGTGATATAATATGAAGATTTAATTTAGCACAACTTAGAGTATCTTAGGATTGTTGATTTTTAGTAGGTTTTTCTTTTGAAATAACTTTTATATCATGCATGTTCAGAATCTGCTTTATTTTGCATAAAAGAGAGCTATCTATATGTTTCTAAAAGAAACTAGTTGTAGGAATGTTTTTGATGGCTAAGATAGTCTATCTGTTCAAATAACCATATTATTCGGTTGACTGGTTCCTACAAAATTTTCATGTGTTCATTATGGATAAATAATAGTTGACTGGTTTGGTATGCTCAAGTGGTCGATCAATTCAGCTTAAAAACCACTTTTGACAGTTTCAAACCTGGTAAAATTTGAACTAATTAAAATATATATATTAATCCTATTTATGTATGCAATGTGAAGTGTGCAAGTTCATTTAAATTTGCTATTGTGTAAGATATAAAAATTTAATAATAAGCTCTAAAATGAATCCTTACTAGTTAAGTCTTTACTTGCTTTATATCTTAGACATATTGATGAATTTCTTCATTTATTTCCATATGCTTGTTGATGTGATCTTCATATAAAACCTGTTTAAACTTAATATCATCCAAGCATATCATTAGTTTATTTTTCATTTAATTGTTATAATAAAATACAAGATATTATAAATATTAATATGTGACCCATAGGTTAACATTACAAATAAAAAAATGCTAAAGATTACAAATCAAATATGAATATGTTACGAAGATGCGAAAACAAACGTTTAAGTAAGAAAACTAATGTAATATGACTCAATTAACTAAAAAATATCTTTAGAATACTAATATGGCCTAATATTATGGAGGCAAATAAAAAAGATATTAATGCAAATTGACCCTATATGATTTATTTTGTAATTTTAGAATTATCCAAACCTAAGTACGTCGAAATAACCCTGAAATTAATTTTTGAAACTAAGAAACCAAAAACCCAAAGAATATCAATTGTAAGTGTATATCTTTGAGTTTTTGAATTCAATTTTTTATAATTTCAAGCTTGCGACTTAATTTTTGTAGATGATTTACTTCTTTTCTTTTATACATATATGTGTGTGCGTACGTGCATGCGTTACTAACTTTCTTTTGATAGTAATGAAATTCAAGGACTTTTTTTTTAAAACTATGTTGTAAATTTCATAATTGAAGAAAGAACACAAAAACAAAATGAAAAATTAAACATAAAAGGATATAACTTGATTTTAAGTCATGTTTTAATACTAACTAATGCAAACCTAAATGGTAAGAACCCTAGAACCCATAGGCAAAAAAGAACAAACCAATAAAGTTAAAATTATATTTGGTTGATTAAAGCTCGATATAACAATTACTTAAATCAAGACACCAAAACTATTAAAATCAAATTCACACTTAATATTATAAGAAATTGTGAATGAGAAATATAAAAAAGACGGTATAAAAACAATTATTCTTTAACAAATTAAGATAATTCAATGAAAAAATAAAAATATAAGAATCTTCTCACACATAAGCACACCATATACAACAAACATGATTAATATCAATTTAAATAGTAAACTTGTAAAAGAGTACTTATAGTATTGAAAAGGATATAATCATAATGAACCAAAGGGTTGACATCAAACCCAATTTAAAAATAACTTATAGCATATGAAATAAAGCCCAAAGTATTAAAAAGAAAAACCCAATTCTAAAACTTAAAATACTAAAGTTGTATATAATAGTTTAAAAAAGCAAAAAACTAAATGTTTCCGTGTATAAAAGCCTTTTAGTCGATTTAATATCTTTGAAAATAAGGATAGTTGTTGTCGCCCCTTCATTTTCATGTAAAATGAGGAAACCTTCCAAATAAGCTTGCTACCACACCTTAGTTTCCTTATAGAATATTGACTCTTTATTACCTCTATTCCTTTATCAACTAAGAATTGTTAAGTTGTCAAAAAGACCTAATATGAACTTTTTTATTGCTTTAAATGTTTCCACATATAACAAGGACTCCTAACTGATATGAAATCAATAAAACACATTAATGAATCAAGGTTCTCCATGTTCTATTTGGACAACCCACCATTGCGAAGTAATTAGACCCGTGTTGTAAATGAATTAGCCCCCTCTTACATATAATTTAAATTGATTAAAGTGTGATTATCACTTATTGTAGTCTTTTTAAAATTCACTTTAACTCAAATACTTTGAATAAATTGTAGTCTCTTTAAAATTCACTTTAACTCAAATACTTTGAATAAACTCATTATATGCGTAATTGAGCTTTTTTCCCTTGATCGTGTAATTGGTCTAATTAGCATTTTTAATAGGTCCTTTGGTATTGAAGGTTGCATTATATACTTATCCACGTCATTACGATAATGTAGTATCTATTAATTACTCAAATACTTTCAAACAATCCATGTTATGCTTAATATCTACTAATTTTTTTACTATTGATCAAGTTAATATTAGTTAAGATCAAAACATAACATTTTTGATATAAAATAACTTAGTAATTTCAAGTCTATGGATCACTTATACAATCATCATGTGAGTCTTTCAATATACACAAGTAATCTCTCTATACGAATTTCTCTAGTAAATTAATTCAATGTATATATTATTTAACAAACACTTACATAATAATTTTAGGTGTCCTTAATACTTTATCTTATGAGAATAACTATTTTTTTCATAAGAAAAAAACATAATATATACCGATTTTAACAACTCTAATTAATATCCAATCTTAATAGAGTATTGACCATAAATATTTATAAACAATATTTTGATACAATACGAATCCTCATATTTATAACCACTTTATATTTTTCTTTGTAAATAATTTTTGTCTCAATAATTGAATCCTTACTCTAGATTTATTAATCAAACATAAATAAATATTAAAAATAAAAGATGAATTTATTAAAAATATTATTTTTACATAAATAAAATTAATATCAAATGTAACTAATCATTTAACTGCATAACATATACACTAACAACAAAATCACCAAAAAATTATATATATCTCAATTAATATTCTATAAAATTACAAATCAAATACATTTAGCCCATCAAATCAAGAAAACTAGTTTTGAAAATGGAGAGAAATAAAGTGTTTCAAATCAAGAAGATTTTCAAAGCTAACAAGAAATACAAAAACAAAATATCCAATAAACCTCTAAAAATCCTCAAGATCCAAGTCCATCTAAACAAAACCAAGAGATTCAATAAATTGACATTTAACTTCACTAAGCTAACTTTCTTACCATTATATTTCAAAAAAATATGAAATCAAAATAAAGGATTAGGTTTTATATGCAAGATGGAGGATCAATTGATATGGTATTTAATCTAGTAGGATTATCTTCATGAATTATTGCAGCATAAATATGTGAATGCTCCCTTGGCTTAGTGAAAAATTTGCTACATCGTGTATAAATATAAATTACTTTATTTTGTTTTGCAAAATGAATTAATATAATCTCTTTAATTTTAAAACTAATTAATTAGTTTCTTTTGTCCACTTTATTTTTTTAATTTTTTTTCTTTGAGAAATAAAAAAAATAAAAAAAGTAAGTAATATGAAAAATCGGAGATAAGAAAATATTTTTTAGAACAAAATAATATTAAATTAAGCATCGTAAAACTACATGGAGTAATTTTGTAAAGTAAAGAGAGGTACGACTACATGGAGTAATTTATAAAAGGAGGAAAAAACGAAACCGGCATCTAATTTCAGTTTCTGCTCAGCACGGCCTTGATTTAGAAATAAAATAAAGCCCTAATTAGACACCGGCAGTGCCATACGATACCATACCATACCATGGAGGACTCAGAGGGAGTTCTAAGCTTCGACTTCGAGGGCGGCCTCGATTCGGGCCCCGCCAACCCCATCGCCTCTATCCCAGCGATTCCATCCGACAATTACGGCGCCGCATCCGCAGCTGCCCCCAACACCACAAACACAACCACCAATACCGCCAACAACAGCAACTCTGGTGCGGCGGACATCCAGACGGGTCGACGGAGCTTCCGGCAGACTGTATGTCGGCACTGGCTTCGAAGCCTTTGCATGAAAGGCGACGCCTGCGGTTTCCTTCACCAATATGACAAGTCTAGAATGCCTGTGTGTCGATTTTTTAGACTCTATGGAGAGTGCAGGGAGCAAGATTGCGTTTACAAGCACACCAATGAGGATATCAAGGAGTGCAATATGTAAGTAAGCCACTTTCGGTCAGTAAATATTAATGTAAATAAGGACATCCTTTGAATCATCAGTAAGAAAATATGTGTGTGTGTTCTTGTAGGTACAAGTTGGGGTTTTGTCCGAATGGTCCAGACTGCAGGTATAGGCATGCCAAGTTGCCTGGACCTCCACCTCCTGTAGAAGAAGTTGTTCAAAAGATTCAGCAACTGAATTCTTACAATGGTGTGAACTCTAACAAAAATTTTCAACAACGGAATGCTGGTTTTTCTCAACAAATAGAAAAATCTCCCAATACCATCATAAAACCATCAGGAACGGAGTCGGCTAACGTGCAACAACAACAACAACAACAACAGACTCAGACACCACATCTTACAAATGGCCAGCACCAGCAACCACAACAGCCTAATCCTTTGAACAGAATTGCAACGCCTTTACCTCAAGGAATATCTAGGTGTGTTCAGAGTTCTGAGGTCTTTTATTGAGTTTTGTAAATCAATTATTGTATTTTGTTTTTCTTGGATATTCTGGTTATCGTTATTAAAACTACACATATAGATGACTTCCTGTATCAAAAGTCTATGATCATCTAATAAAGCCCATTATTACTTCAAACCTCTCTGTCTCTCTCCCTCTCTTTTAATTTTCCCTAACTGTTCACCTGTGTAAGTTGGCTTGGAGGTCCCCAAAATCAATATTTTGCAAGGATTAATCCTGTGCATTGAATCCTACTGATGCTAAAGTGAAATGGCTCTTGGCGTGCCTCAGGCATGAAGGCATCCAGCATCTCTTTATGTTCCATAGATGGTGGAACAAATGGGATAGTTGCATCATTGCTTGAAGAGACATGCATCAGCTGTAACTATTCTTACTGTTCAATTTACTCCAGATTCTAGTCCTGTTTTTCTAACAACTTCTCTTGCAGTCAAGGCCCTTAAAACTGTTTCAAAAGATCATCTCCTAATCTTTGTTTGAAAAAAATAACCCCTCTTATGAAGTGGATGCTTTGAGAATGTTGCTTATTGTGTTTGTGTAAAAAGTTTGTGGATATATTTCATTGGTATATGCTTTTCAGGCTTCTCTTTGCTTTTGACAATGCATTCTTTACTTCTTAATTTAATGATGTTTTGCAACTTTCTCATTTTATTATTAGTTTTCCCTAAACAGTGTTGAGATATTAATTAATGCCTCACATACAGGGACAACTACTTTTCATGTCCTGATTCCTTGGGGCATAGCTGTTTTCTGTCAGATAACTTAGTCTAGTGTGATGGTATTTTAAGTTGTTGATGCAAAATGACTGACACCCACCAATATTTAAGTAACAAAGAACTCATGCAGGACATCTTTGAAGTATCTGTTCTGATAGGGTTTGGTAAAGAATTAGGGCATGGAAATTGGACATTTAGAGTATAAGAACAGGGGATTTAGGGCATTGAATTTGAATTGGTATGGAAGTAAAAGGCCACCAGCTTTCACATTACTAGTTATTCTAGGAATCACACCTAGAAGATAGAAAACATAAGTAGGCATCTCACCTAGGGTTCCTAGGAGTCACACCTAAGATTGATTGGATGACACACCATTAAATTGTAATTGCCGGAAATGTTTTTCGTAGATCTGGTTCTCTTAACAAAGCATACCAACATAGCTACTTATAGACTCCTCATACACCTAAAGCATTAAGTTGTTGAATTCCCGGACTTAAATCTTAAATAAGAAAATACTACCATTTCTATTTAAATCTACCTAATTAAGGACTAATAAGCCACTTGAGCATAAAATAAAAACCTAGGCCTAGATGACTTTCAGCAGAAATTATAAAAATGCCCTTGTGTTCAATAATTATAGAAAGAGACTATAATCCTGCTTCCTTTTGTTGTCTGCATCATGTATGCTTGTGTCTGATAGTTCCACAAAACTATTATAATCCTGCTTATTTGATGTCTGCATTAAGAACTTAATAATTCATAAAAAAAATAAAAATAAAGAAAAAGAACTTAAAATAGAATGCCTGATTTTTCTTATTGAATCACCCTTCTCTTTGTTCCATTTATTCTTTTGATCAACCAACTGTGAAACTTCTAAATTCTTCTCATACATGACTTCTAGTTTTAATGTCCACAAGGTGATAAATGTATATGCAAATACATGCTGAACTTGTTCAGTTGATGCATTTTGTATTAGTGGTTGATAATTGTAAAAGTTGTGTTCATCCTTCGAAAGTTGGCTGTTTCTATAGCAACTGTATATTAGTAGGATTTGCTGTAGAATCAATTTTTCACTCAGACTGCTAAGGGAAGAAGTAGCTACAAGGGACCATTCTTCCTTTGCATCAAATGACACAATAAGGTTCCTTAGAGAATTTGATGAATGCATGGTAAGTAATTGATGTTGCAAATGGTTTTAATAATTGCATGCGTAAACAACCCAAAATAGAATGCTAGTTTGTTTTTCATGCTTTATATTTTTATTGCTTTATGTTAATATTCATCCACTCACCCATCTATCTACAAACTCATTTTGTTATATGTATGTCTGTGTGTGCATATACATGTATCTGTGTTACGGTCTGTTTTGGAATAGGAGGCGAGGGATAATTAGTAAGCTTTTGCTTGTGTTTGAAATTTTTTGAATGGATTAGGTTCCCATGTGAGTCAGCTAAGAGTGATTAAGACTCTGTTGGTTTGTTTCCTCAAGACAGTAGTCCTATTTTTAAATTGTTTGGTAAACAAAAAAAGATAATTGGGCTCTGTAATGCAGTTTAAGCCTTAAAACAGAATTTTGGGAATTTGAAATGTGTTCTTAAACAAGCTTGTAAACATGAACATAAAATTTCAAGCTGTAGATTTGAATGTAATGGTTTATGATTCCAAGTTTGAATGATCCTAGGATGACTGCACTGATTGTGTGATTTGTCATGAGTTGCAATGGATGGGAGAAAATGTCACTTGAAATTTGGCTGATATAATGAACGAAGTAATAATAAAAAGAGCGGCTAAATTTAAGAAAGAATGAACTTGATATGAGTGAACATGGATTTGGGGTGTATAAACTTATGATTTTGATAAAGAGAAAACATCCTGAAAAGCTGTGAATGAATCGGGATGACATTACAACTTGGAATGGGATTAAGAGACCTACAATAATATGAACACTTAAATTAACTATAGCTCTCGCATTATGTTCCCAGGTTAAAGCAAATTGTCCCTGTTTTGGCACATCAAGCATATAGAAGTCCTAGATAGTAGCCTCATTTTATGATAAAAATTGTTGAGCAATTAACATGTACTTGTGATTTGTCTCACCTGTTTGATTCCTGGGCCAATATATCATAAGTGAAGCCCTAATTTCCATCGTCAACATTTGTTGCCACCATATAACTTTCTGGAATCCTTTGTTTGAGACTGCATTATACATTTAGGAAAAGGATAGTGTGGGTAATCTGATGAATTTTTCATAAGTTGCTTTATGTTCTCCTTGTGTCTACTTGATTTTTAGTGACATCATAAAGGGTAGGCATCATAGATTGGTGGGGAATCCCATTTTTCACTGGTCAAGAAGGTACAGACATCATAGTTCGGTGGAGAATCCGAATTCACTTCAACAAGGATAGCATCTTCAGAATAATGACACTGGAAATTAACATTATGATGCAGCCTAGGGGACAAAGTCTGATTTTCAGTGAATATGTGAACAAGGTCAAAGCTGTAATTTCAGTGATTTCCATGTTGGAACTTTTTGCAAGAGAATAAAGATTTAGTGCTTGCTAATAAAAAAAGCATTCCTAAAACATGGAGGAGGTTCCTTATTTACAATTAAAATATCTAAATTCTTAACTTAGTCGATATAAGCTTTCTGAATGGGAACAAGAAACCTTCATTTAGGAAATGAAGTACTCATAGAAGGTACTGAATGAAGAGTGAGGACATGGAGTATGGTGTCATGATGAGTTGCCAATGAACTGTGATTCTCTTGTTAAACTTTATAGATATTTGGCTTAAGTTTTGTGACTGACTGGTTATTCATTGTTGGTGTTTTTGGGACAGAACATGGCAAGTTAATGATGAGACTAAATTTCTGTTTGACAAGGGTTTTTTAGGGACGAAGAGGATATTTTCTTGTGCTGTGAATTACTCATTATTAGGAAACTATCCTTTGTATTTGTGATTTAAACTGGTATGGCTATCAACTATTAATTTTGCAGTGAATCATAGGCCTATCTGCCTCTCAGCAAGGCTGCAGGTGTCCTTGTTCTTTCCTGGTATGGTGATGAAATTCAATGAATGGATGGATGTCTAGAGCTGATATCCATTCAGTGGCGAAAGTTTATCTTCTATTAGTTTTATGAGCATTTTGCTTTTAAAATAGGTGGTTTATAAGGTGCCATGGTTTGGGATTTTTTATTTTCTATTAATTGAAATGCTCATAAAACTAGGTTTTGTTTTGCCCCATCTTCTTGTATACTGTTAGAACCTATTGAGAATAAGTGGGAACAGGCTTTACCCTGACTTCCCATATAAGTGGTTGGTTGTTAACATGTGTGCTTTAGGTGTTTGAAATTCCTCTCAGCTTATAATTTTAGATACAGCTGTTATTGATAGTATAAAGCCTTTCAAATGCGTTTCCTTTTGAACATCATTAATTGTTTTCAGTAATGCAACACATCTTTCATGCTGATCTACCATTTTATTTTTGCATCTTGATTTCTGTCAATAAGCAAATAAGATGGGCGTGGAGAGGTGAAAGTGATTTAACTGATTTACAGGGGAAGTATCTCCTTCATCCTGATTAACTAAGAATGCAAAGTTTCATTATGGTTTAAGTTGCAAAATTCTTTGGTGATATCAGTTTCTATTTTGCTACTGATTGAGAATGTGGGCTTGTGTAAGTAGGAGTTTCTTTGTGCCACTGGACCTCATCACCTTGAAGTCCTCATGCTAGTGTTTAGGATGTTCTGCATGCTGTATGTGGGTTTCTCTGGCTGCCTGGTCAAGCTGCTAGTAGCCTGTTCTTGGTTTTTATTAATACATGAGTTCACTTTATTTCTAATCTACTTTTTGTATTTTTTCTGTTTATTGAACTTCTACTGTGTGATTTGCTTTCCTTTTAATTGTACTATTGCATTGCATTGAAAAGGACATTGTACTCTACCAACTATAAGTTGGGGGTTGATTTCAGTGTCTCTCGGCACACCTTGTTTATAATTAAATTGCAAATTTCTCTTTTCCATAATTGAATGCGCTAACTTATTTGTTCCATATATGGAATTTAGGTACTTTATTGTTAAGAGCTGCAACCGTGAAAATTTGGAGTTATCTGTGCAGCAAGGAGTATGGGCAACTCAAAGGAGCAATGAAATTAAACTGAATGAAGCTTTAGACTCTGCTGACAACGTGATTTTGATATTCTCAGTAAACCGGACTCGACATTTCCAGGTGAATTTGGAATTTATTATTCATTGAGTTGTTTAATTTGGTAGTTTGGATCCCCAACTTTCCTTATAAAAAATTGTTTTGGATTGGTTTTGATTAAAGGCTACTACTTGGCTAACTTAGTTGCTAAGTTGCATCAAGTTGCCCTTGTTTGCTCTGACTGGGATGCTAAACCTGAAATTGTGTATGGTTGATAGGGTTGTGCAAAGATGACATCCAAAATTGGTGCTTCTGTTGGTGGAGGGAATTGGAAATATGCACACGGAACTGCACATTATGGGAGGAATTTCTCAGTCAAATGGTTGAAGGTATTCTTTTTCCCTCAACATCTATTCTGTTTCTCTGAATTTGTTTCTGCCTTGAATGATAAGACATCATACTGTAATTATAAAATGACTATCAGTGTTTTAATCCGAAGTGAAGTATGATAGATAAATTGAGAAGAAAGTTGTTTTGATTTCAATTGGAGTTTAACAAATTTGATTGATGTGAAAGTTTTGCGTTTTATTTCTCTCATAACTACATCTTGTTAGTTATAAATTAGAAAGGATTTATGCAGAAACCTCAGGCTGCAACCAGGAAGGTTTAGTGCTTGATGTGGGACAGGTTCCAGTTTTTATCACACAAATGCTTTATGGTGGGCCTTGGCTTGGAAAATTGGAGATTTAAGGTTTTAGATTAAAGAAAAGTGATACAGGGTTTGTGGAATTTCGGTTTAGTTCTTAGACAATTAGCATAACATTGTAAATAGATGATAGATAACCTTATGTCGTGTTTACTTTTAGAAATAAATTTTCCAATTTTATCGCCTCTTTTGTCATTATTCTAAACTCAATTTGTCCATAAAAACAAGCTTACGAACTGGTAGTTCTATAAAACAGAGAATGAGGTCCTTGTTTGGATTGTTTAAAATAATGAATGTCAAAAAGATTACATAAGCCTTTTTTTTATAAAAGATGAGAATTTGGAAAAGAAACTTTTAGTAGTTTTCTAGAGAACTGGAAAAACCGAAACACATGTTCAAAGTAAATACTAATTGGTAAACACATTTGTCTCAGTTCTCTGTTTTCAAGAAATCTTTTCCAGGCAACTAGACTCATGTAAGTACTACTTAAAACATCAAATTAAGTGTTTAACTCTCATTACTCATGCTTAATGCACCATACTATCTTAAGGAGCCAATTGCTGGATTTTTCTTTTAAAAGAGGGTATTCTCTATTAAATTAAACGATTGCATTAGCATGTATATTGGGAATCAAAACTCTTAATGCTAATTAGACCTGAACTAAATAATGAAAACTTTTATTCTTATGTGGAATAAGGAATAGAACAAGAAACTCGAATCTTCATCATGAGATGATATTTTATATATCCTAATTCCTGCTAGAATATAATTACTTATGTTTCACATAAAAATTAAGCTGATAACATGGTCACTTAAAAGTAAGCTTAAAATTCCCATGTTGTTGAGAAGGGGTTAGTGATTGCCCTTGTATTTTTATATGGAAGTTGATCCTAATTTTATTTTTATTTTTTAATAGATTCTACCCTTGTTTTGTAGGTTATGAAAAAATCTGCCCCTCTAGTTCCTTTGAGTGGGTGTGATGTGTTAAAGATTTGTGCATAACAGCATAAGAAAATTACATGTGGAAATTTTAAAAATAAAAGAAAAAGAAATAAAAAAACCAATGTTGAGTATCAAGGAAATTAAATTAAAATTATAGGAAAAAAGATTGGGTTTTTCAAAATTAGAAAAATAATAAAGAAATAAATTAAATTATATTTATTAGGTAAAGTATATTTTTTCGTCAAATTTAAAAAAAAGGTTGGATTTTTTAAAGTAAAAATTAAATTAATATTTACAAATTAATTAAAATGTTGTTGAAGAAATTAAATTAAAAATATTGGGTAAAGCATACAACCTTTATTCCTAAAATTTTAATTCAATTTCTTTACTATTCAAATTTGGGCCTTTTCTTTTCCCCCCCCCCCCTTCACTTTTTTTTGTAAAAGTCCATTTGTTAAATTTTCACGCGTAATTTTCTTATGCCTTGACGAATTGATTTTTTACATGTGGTGTCAAATACAATAGAACTGGACGTGAGGTAAACAACCTTATGAAACTTATAGTAGAAAGGAGAATTCATAAAAAAATCACTGAGAGACAAAATCCATAAAAAAATAACAGTATAGGGGTAAAAAAATGTGCCATTAAACCTGGCACAGGAAGATATAAACCTGGCACAGGCAATATCTTCAAAAGGGGTATCAAATACTTTGGTAACGTGAACTAATTTTAGACTGGTTCTTTGATGACAATCTGACAAAATTTATATCTTGCAATGTATATAAAGGTACTGTATTTTTTAACTTGACTTGGAGGCTGCTTTAATTAGAAAAGCAACAATGGATTGTAGAGAAAACTAGATTCCTAAAAGTCATCATGCATTATTTATTTGTTGTGCAGTGCATTATTTGTTTGTGGTGCAGAGTCCTGACTCCTGAGTGGCCTCGCTCATGATTTTGGTGGCTTCTCCATGTGAATTGTAGCATATGGAAAATAATTTGTTTTGAATTCACAACTATCCTTTCTCCAAATGTTATATCATGGCTAGCAGAAAAACAAAAACTGACTGCTGCTGCTTTTCAATTTCATAGTACCATGACAGATTATGTGCATTAGATGCTTGTTATTGAATGTGAGATTTCAAAATCTGGGGATAGCCATTAAAATTAATTATATTCAAAATCTGGGGATAGCCATTAAAATTATTAAAAATCTCGATACATTAGTTTTTGTGTATGTTTAAATAGCACAAATCTATGACATAACTAATTGCAATTTTCCTTTTGAAGTTGTGTGAACTGTCCTTCCACAAAACTCGCCACTTGAGAAACCCATTCAATGAGAACTTGCCGGTGAAGGTACTATCCTTGGTCTTCGTCTATTTATTTTTTGTTGTTCTTCTATCCCCGTGCATGAAAAGATATACTGTGTATACTATGTTTGTGAGGACTTGCATTTTTCTGCTCTTTTCTTATAAAGAATGAACTTTTAAGTAATAAGTTCATGAAATTGGATTCTAAGAAATCTGCCTTACCAAATAAGTTCAAGTTCCCAACTACTAGAATTAATATTTGATTGTTTAGGAATTTTAATGTTGTATGATTATTTTGGACTTTCTGAGTATTATGTAGGAATATTAGTATTTATTATTTAGAAGTTAAAATAGGAATTTAGATTATTTTAGTTTATTATTGTATTAGTACTATGTAATAGGTTTTCTTATTTATATGGTTTGGTGCCTATAAAAATAAATAAGCACCCTACCTCGATATTAAGAGAATGTTGAATATTAATTATCAGACTAAAACTAAGTTTCTCGTTTAGAATTGGTTCTCTGGTTATGTGTTCTCGGTGGTGGTTCTACACCACAGTGCTTGTGTATCAGTGGCAGTCCTAGAATGCCCTTCTAAATGCCTTAAAGAGATTGCTGCCAGTGTATGCCATCATATGGACTGTGTTTTTTGGCTTGGCAAACTCTTATGGATTGATATGTTCACTTGAGAACAAACGAGCTACCATACAGCTCTTAACAGCTGATTGTATCCAAAGGACATTTTTGAACCTGGATAACACCTCCTGAAGATAATATGCCACATGATGTTTAGATGCGTTGGCACAACCTTGGTCACCTCTCTTAAATTAGTGGTGTTCTGTTGTTACTTGCACAATGTAAGCATTGTCGCTAATTTTCTTCAGAATCATACAAGGACCTTCACTCTTTGAATGAAGCTTTATACATCAATACCTTTAGGATACTTTCAAGTCTGATGAGTATTTGATGATGCTGAATACCTACTTTTCAAATCTATATTTGGAAAGATTGTAGAAGTAGCCATAGATCCAACATGTCAATTAAATGGTGGATAATCTTGTTTATGGTTATGTCTTGTCACCATAGATGCACCAAAAACCATAATTTTTTTTTGGTGCAAGCAAAGCTAGGACAGCAATGCATTAATTCTTGAAACAATTCTTTGGAGCTGGACAACAGTTCATCAATGTGCCTTATAAGCTTGGCATGTCACAAGGATTCTTTCATAGGCTGGAAGATTAGGCTTTTAAGACCCTGGAATTAGAGGCAAAGGATGCAACTCATTTGGTAGTTAACTGGTGCAACATCAGAAAAATCTGACAACCACCTAATTTCCTCTAGGGTCAACATGAAGAAAGGGACAGCAGCTGATTTTAACACTTCTCTTGCTATACAGAAAAAATCACATTTGATTTGGGCTAGCTACTTGGAAAAACACCAGAGATGCGTATTATCATCAATGCCCTTGTAATTTCGATGTCAAGTTAACTCATTGGCCTGAAAACCATTTTCTGTCCCTGAGAGAAGTCCACATGTTGATCTCAAAGACAAGATCAACCAAGAATGTGAGGGACTTGCACAGGAATCATGTCACATAATATGGAATCACCAAAGGCACCACAAGTAAAAGTAGCAATGTTTTGAGTTACCAGAATGGTTTTGTAGGTTATTTAAAAAATTACAGAAATACCGTTAAAGGCCTATTCAAGTTCCCAATGATGTTCCTTTTCATCAACCATATATGAAATCAATGCTTCAGCATTATAACCAGTCATGGAATGCCTTAGAGACTACTGCTAATTGCACCATGAAAGGGGTTGTGTTTAGGCCTGGCAAAATCTAATTAATTTGATATGTTGAATTGAGTACCCTAAGGCACCATATCAGCAAGTCATGGTGCTCATAACTTAACAGAAATGCCTGAATGCAATTGTACAGCTGCCAGTTTTCATATTGGATTAAATGTGACAATTTACTCTTTGATTTGTTAGCATGGGCAAAAATCCCTATGTAGAATGCATGAAACTTGTGTGAAATTATTAATGGAATTAAGACGAAAAAAAAACACATACAAAAGGCCTTCTACTTCTACTGCTCGAATGGTGTGATAGTGAATTATTACTGTTATCATTGTTATTTTTGCATTGGTGCAATCATCAAGGAATGTAAGTACCTCTGATAATTGAGCTCCACATTTGAAATCATTTATATCAATATGATTTCACTGCATTTCTTTTGTTATGACTGTTTTCTTAGTTGAAATTTCACTTATTGGAGCTAAAAGCTGTAGTCAAGTCCTAATATTACTTCTCATGAACGCAGATTAGTAGAGATTGTCAAGAGCTAGAACCCTCTATTGGTGAGCAGTTGGCGTCCTTACTTTATCTTGAGCCAGATAGCGAACTTATGGTATGCTTGTTCCATAATTTTTTTTTCTTCTAAACACAGTGAATTAGATCAAGAAGCACTTGAACAATTCAGAGAAAATGAAAATGAGATTGAAAAAAAGAATTGTGTTGTGCCCTTGCCCTTTCCTTTTTTGGCAACTAAATGCAGTCACATTTTGAAGATTTTGCTCTTGATAATCTTAAAAAAAGTTTGTTGTCCATTTGCCCTGCATTTAGAAGGTGGCAACAAAATATGAGAACATACAATAGAATTTACAGTCATGTAGATGCATGTAAACATGTATATCAGGTTGTCCCACAATTGGTAAGGGATCATGTGAAATTAGACAAAGATAGTAGGTTCACAGCTTAACAACCAAAATAGGTTTTAACATGGGATGGAGGATGTTGCTTTTTTGCATGATTGAGATGACCACCATATAGTATTTGTACTTGAACAATGTTTTCTATTATAGTTTTCTTAAATATTTTCGTTTTGAGTTCTTGTAGATTTTGAAAAATGATCAATCAAGCACATTTTTCTATAAATGCCCTTTCAAGGGTAGATAAACCATTGCTACATAAGTGATCAAATTTCTGGAACAAATATATTGTATTGATTGTTTTGTGAAATCTACAAGAACTGGGATAGAAAATTTCAAAACAATCTTTTGTAGATTTTCTATCAAGAACTGGTTTCATCAATATGGTTATTGGAACAAATATATTGTATTGATTGTTTTGTGAAATCTACAAGAACTGGGATAGAAAATTTCTACATTTCTTTTGTAGAACTATTTTTTATATTGATGAAACCAGTATGCTTAATGGGTGGCCTTGCTAGACCCAATATTGCATTGGATCCTAAAGTGCAACTCTCCAAATTATGGAATGCAATGAACTAAATGAATCTAAATAATGTTCCTTCTGGGGTGCAGGCAGTCTCACTTGCAGCAGAAGCAAAACGAGAAGAGGAAAAGGAAAAGGGAGTCAATCCTGACAGTGGTTGTGAGAACCCTGACATTGTCCCCTTTGAGGACAATGAAGAAGAGGAGGAGGAAGAAAGTGAAGAGGAGGACGAGTCCTTTGGGCAGCCTCTTGGACCAGCAGCTCAAGGCAGGGGGAGAGGTAGAGGGATGATGTGGCCTTCTCACAATCCAATGGCTCGTGGGGCTAGACCCATCCCTGGCATCAGAGGTTTCCCCCCCATGATGATGGGTGCTGACGGGTTTTCTTATGGAGCTGTTACACCTGATAGCTTTGGAATGCCAGATCTCTTTGGTGTGGCATCCCGTGGATTCCCCCCATATGGTCCTAGGTTTTCTGGTGATTTTGCTGGTGCTACATCTGGTATGATGTTTCCTGGGCGGCCTTCCCAACCAGGGTCTGTGTTTCCAGCTGGTGGATATGGGATGATGATGGGTCCAGGACGTGCTCCCTTCATTGGGGGGATGGGTCCCACTCCATCAAATCTTCTCCGAGGTCCTCGGCCAGGTGGCATGTTTGCACCGTTTCCTGCGCCATCCTCCCAGAACAACAGCCGGTCTGTTAAGAGAGACCAGAGGGCGGCTGCAAATGATCGAAATGACAGGCATAGTGTAGAATCTGATGTGGTCAGGGGTGCGGCTGGGGAATCAAATGACGAGAGAAAATACCTGCAGGAAACATTAAAGGCTTCCCATGAGGATCAATTTGGTGCTGTAAATAGCATCAGAAATGATGAGAGTGAAAGTGAGGACGAGGCACCAAGACGGTCAAGGCATGGGGAGGGAAAGAAGAAGCGTCGAGGTTCCGGAGAGGATGCTACTCCTGGCTCTGATCACTAACAGAAGGCGTGCTCGATTCTACTGGAGCGTAACTACTCAGAAAGGCCTACTGTAGAACATGCGCTTCCTCCATCTCGCATCAGCCTTCATTCGAATGTGATTTAACTGTGGACTTTGGTTTCTTAACACTTTTTGGGGCATAAAAATGTATGGATAAATGATTTTTTGTACTGTTTTTTTTTTTCCTTACAATTTTTTAGGTTGACATGTCAGATATATATAAAAATTGGTGTATAACTAAATGAGTAGAATTGTGATTAGATATCTAGCGATGTCTACAGAGGATGAACATTATACAAGGCCCTGGCGGGAATGAGAAGCATAAAGAGATAAAAAGCATGGAACACGGCGTCTATATTCCTATAAAAAAATTTCCTCTTTCTATAATTTCCTAGGCCCTGCAATCCTTTTGTTGCAATGATTTATTCAAATAATTGTTTCTGGGTTTTGCAAACGATCGTTCCAACACCAAAATCAACAAAATGGTCAAGGAGATCAGCATCAAAGATTGGTGGAGAAATAATGCAGGGGAACTCTCAAAAAGCTTTTTAACCATAAAATACTTTCAATATTTAAACAATTGATATGATCAACATAATGGACTGGATAAATTATAACATGGCTTTTATAAAATCTCCTTGTGTTTAGTTTAAGAACTATGTTGGTTTTGATGCTCCCTCAAGGGATACGCACACATTTTCCCTCTTCTTCTTCTTCTTCTTGTCATCACCATTATCACATATTTTCCCTTTTCTATAATAACATCCAAGAATCATGCTCGCACCTCTGTTTCCGGATGAGACATGACAGACACGGTATTATACATTTAATGAGGTGAATCATCTATTCTATCCAGCCAAAAGAAGTAATCAAAGTATTTTTGAGAAAGCCAACGATATGGGTAGATAATTAAAGAGCCAGAGAGCAACCAAGTTACTGGTGCAAACTCTGGTACTTCATAAAAAATGTGATGAAAAAACCTTTGTTGTTTTAAGTCCTTAAGCATGCAAAAAAGAACTCATTTTCCTCTATGAATTAGATACGAAACAAAAGGGAAATTAGGCTTACTTCTTTCCATATCTTTCCTTGCAGTACTGGGCATGGTAAACTGATGCATATGGATAGGTAAAAGCTATTTTATTTGACATTGCCATCAGGTTGGGCTATTATGAAACAACAAATAATTAGATCAGATTTACAGCATGGTTAACCATGATGGAATGCAACCAAGAATTGCACTCATCAAATAAATTTGAGATTACGAGAAAATAGTGAAAGTTGTGGGCAAAAATGTGCATGGATTCAACTAAAATATTTTTTAAATAAATAATTTGTTGGGTTTATCAAAACATATAAACATAGCAAAAACAATATTTTTTTAAAACTTGTGGAATCAAGAATCATGTTAGACAATCATTTAGGATTCTCTAAAAAAAAGTTCTTCTTTTTTGGAGTTTAATTAACTTCTCAATGTAAAATTGTTGCAAATCATAAAATATTTAATTATCAGATCTCTAATAATAATCCATATAAATTACTAGATTATAAATCTCTTAAAACTTATTTAGGAGAGAAATTGCTTTACTTTTAGTATTATCTTTTTATTTTCTCTACTATGCTTATCTATATAAGTATATCTAATGTTTAAAGTGTGTACAATACATTTATTGAGAAAATTACGAGGTATAACATTCTAATTATATATATAAAAAAGATTATCCTATTAATAGGAAAATATCTCGTATGTTATTTCTAAATATAGAAATTTATGTAATTAAGTCTCTACTTGATTTTTGTTGGTCAAGAATTGTAATTCCTTGTATAAATTACATTATAGTCCTTAATTTTTAAAATTTATTTACGATCAAGTAATACTTGATTAATTATCTCAGTTTAATTTTTTACTAATAATTTTTAAAGTATATGACCTGTTAGGTTTTTAATAAGTTGATTCAAATATAAATTCTAATTTTAAATAAAAATATAATTAAATTAATTAATTTTATTATCAATACATGAATTTGCTTTTGGGTAGAAATTACTTTATAATTCTCACCTTTAAACCTTTCCTAATAAGTTACACTCATGATAATTTATTATGGCCCACACCTTTTTTTATAGCATGATTGAAGTGCACTAGAAAATGAGGGATGGATAGAGATTTCAATGAATATAAGCACTCCATTAAACTCACTAATACTAAATGATAACCAAAGAAAGTCTAACTATAAGCTATAAACTAAAACTTACGAGGCAACCCAAGTTTCTTAAATTTCTTCATTTTGTTTTTTTATTTTTTAGTTTTTTTATTACTTATGTTTTTTTATTTTTTTGTTATAGGTTTGTTCAACATGGAGGAGCTTCATAAGCATTTTAACCTTTATTTTTAGAAATTAAATCTAGAAGTTGCTCTTATATCTTTCTCTTTTAGTTTATATTAGGGACAATTCTTAGTTTAAGTTTAGGGGTCGATAAGTCATTTGTATCTCTTTGTTTTATATGAACAATGTTTAGCCATATTTTATTTTTTTTCTTTGGATTGATTATTAATTATATTTGTGTTTTTAAAATCAATCATATAATTAACTATTTCATATTTGAGTTGGATGGAGTGTTGTTGTCTTTTTTTTTTCTTTTGGAATCAATAAGTCATTTGATATTTATTCAATATTATACATTTATTTACAAATAAGAATGAGATAGCTAATTGTCTTTTTTGCTAAATCATACTTTGTATACCTTGACCATTATTTTTATATTTTCTTTTAAAAAATAAAAGGTGTCCCGTTACACATTCTTAAGGCTATGTCCTACACTTAGTTCTTTAGGCTATATGATTTGAACATGATCAGAGTGAAAGCTCACTATATGACTCACTTAGAAAGATTAAGAGGATATAATACATTAAGAGGATGGAACATTAAGAGTCATGATATAAAACAAGAAAAGGTGCTTGAATGATAAATAAGAGCAAAGTTATTAATGTAGGAAAATGATACATGACATAGTTTAGCTAGCTTGAAAAAGTTGATAAACTATAAAGTTTGAGTTTAAGTTTAAAAGTTTTAAAAACTAGAAAAGCTTAAGAATGATTGATGGTTGAATAAAAAACGTTTTGGAGAATTTGTTGAGTGAGTGTTATGATCTAAAAGCTAATAGATATTAGCTTATGAGTGTAAATGTAATATAGTTATTTAATGAAATTATTAAGGCATTGTTTTATCTTTTAAGTTTGTTTTAATTATATTATGTACTAATTTATTTGATAAAGTCTATATTATAATATTTGTATGATATATGACATGATAGATACTCATACACTATGGATAACACTATTAAGTGCTTTGGTTGTAGTTTTTGTTATGACTAGCCATTGATGATGATATGTATTAGATCTTTATCATAGAATGGTAGTGGATATTCTCACTTTTATAGTATATTGATATTAAGAATAATGTGTAGATGCTTATAAGAAAATGTATTCATCAAACGTGACTTGTATGATAACTCATTTGATATTTACCCATCGTTTAAGTTTATTTTAATTACATTATGTACTTACTTCTATAATAAAAATCTATATAGTAATATATGTATGATATTTGGTATGAGATATATCTTATATATTTTGGAATAATGTTATTAAATATTCATGGTTATAGCTTTATTAAGACTAGACATCAATATAAGTGATAATAATGGTATGCAATAGATCTTAATTATATGATCAAATGATCATAGCGGAAAATCTCACTTTTATAGTATAATGATACTAAGTATAATATGTAGATGTTTGTTAGGGAAAAACTTTATTGGACGTGGCTTATATAAGAATCATTTTGTATTTACCTAGAGTATATAAGAATCTTGTAGAGATGAGTGTATTTGATCCTTTGATTTGAGGTTATCATATTATCTTGCATAGAGAACCATTTACTTTGACACTATTAGGGTGGACTCTAAAGGGTTTTGTATATAATAATGATAGGATATACACTAAGACATTTGGAGGTTTATGAATAATTAATTTAGGATTTGTCACTTGTTATAAAAAAAATATCGTTAACTATTTATTAAGTGTATGATTTCAGAAAATCTATACTCATAGTAGGAATTGATTTTAGAAGAGTTATAAAATCATATTTCATATAAAGTCTATCTACTAGGTAATAAAAATAAAATCAGAAGTGGTTATCTAGGATATGTACCTTCCAAACCCTAGGTCAATTCATGGCATTGTATGATAAAGAGGTCGAATTATACGGTAACCATATTTAGGAAGGGTTGAAAAAAGTCTTGATTGATTGTTTCTAATCACTTTGAGTGTTATGATAGAATGCTAATTTATTTACTTTATTCAATGAAATAAGATGCATGTATAAAGTATTCATATCATATTTGATTGAAAGAATAAAACAATTATACTTATACTAGGACTATAATAAAGCCTCATTACAAACATGATTGTATACTTATACTAGGACTATAATAAAGCCTAATAAAGCCTAAAGGGTCACACATACAAAAAAAATTAAATGTCAATGTAGTACAAAGAATAAAATACTTCTTATTAGAGTCCTAATGAGACTAGAACTCTTTTAAATGTTTTAATTGGAATTGGAATCTATACTAGTGCTAATGAGATTTGGACTCAAAACTAATTTTAATGAGATTAAAGATTAGAATCTTATTATCACTAGATATTTACCTTTGTCTATAAAATTATAATCTTAATAGGATTAAGATTTATTCCATGACTCTTGGAAAGACTAGTGTAACTAAAGTCTCAGACATGATTGATAGGTTAAGATATTTGGACTAATTTGGTACTGGTTAGGTTTATAGGTCTTATAAGCCCATAAGCTAGGTATAAGACTTTATTATCTATATGGGCTTGTGAATCTTATATGATAGCCATGTGATGTGAATTTCATGGATATAAAGATCCAAAAACCTATAGTGAAATTGACTCTTTCTAATCAAGCTAAAATATTATATGGAATTAAGTATGACAAGAAATCTGGTTAATTATTTGAAAAGTCAGAGTAGCTTAATAAAGAACAAAAAAAATATGAGTAAAACCTCTAACACATAATAATAATTGTTGAAATCAAATTTTGTATATAAAAATATAAATATAAGATAAATAACCTTATTTATAATAAGTAAAAAGTCTCAAATAATGCTAGAAAAATAATAAAAGAGTTTTAAATAAAGAAAAATCATAAATTAACTAGGAAACTAATGTAATTCTCACATGGTATCTTATGGAATTTATTGCAAGGTCTTTCTAATGTTTAATCGCCTGAAATTTTAACCCAATATAAAATAAAACCTCTAAAAATATCTAGTAAAATTTCAATATAATCCAATGATCGGATAAACAAATATTCTTGTTAGAATAAAATTATGCATTGAAAAAAATAAGCACAAAACCACCTATAATACTAAAATGAATTACCCATCATTGCGAAATAATTAGGCTTATATTGTAGATGAATTAGGCCTCTCTGGCACATAAACTAGATTAATTAAGGTTAGATTATCACTTGTTGAAGGTGTAATCTTATTAAAATTCATTTTAGTCCAGATACTCTAAATAATCTCATTAAATGTATCTTTAAGCTTCTTTACCCCTGATCTTGTAATTGGCTTAATTAGAACTTCCAATGGATCTTTTGATGTAGTATTAACCATATCATCTTATTTCTCATCAAAAGGATTTGTCCATGAATTGTGGCACTAAAGAGATTTGAAATATTAAAAGTGGCATTAACACTATACTCACCTGATAAATCTAATTTATAATCATTATCATTAATTCTTTTAAGGATTTAGAATGGTCTATCTCCTCTCAGCATCGATTTAAAACTTTTTTTTTCAATAATTTTTTTTTTGCATGCAAATTGAAACTCAATCATCTGGTTAAACAATAACCTTATTTTCCCTTTTATTAGCTTTGAATGTACATATATTTTTTTTTTTTTTGTATTTCTCGCCTTACATTCTCATTGAGAGCCTTTACTACTTATGTTTTTCTATTATAATCAGGATTAACCATCTCAGCATACCAACAATTCAACTTCCTTTGATCTTTAAGATGTTGTAATGACTTATGATTGATATTTGATCACAAACTCTTTAGACCATAAATAATGTTGCTAAATTTCCAAAGTTCTTACAAAAACATAAAGCTTTTTATCATAAGTAGGATAATTCATATTGCACCATTGAGTTTTTCGCTAAAATAAGTTATAAGCTTTTTTTTGTAATATTATTAATGGCATGACAACCAGTATACATCCTCCAGGTCCCATCCTTTTTGGGTGTTAACAACAATAGAATTGCACAAGGAATTATGTTTTCTCTTGTCTACCTTTTTATCATTAATTCTTTCATTTTCCTTTGAAGTTTCTATATCTCCTAAAAATTGCTTTTATAGGCTAGCCAATTAGATATAGATGCTTCAAGCATAAGATCAATTCAGTTTTTAATTCTCCTAATAGGTGGCAACCCACTAGAAATCTCATTAGGAAAGATGTCCTTAAGATTTTGTAATAAAAAAATACAAATACTAGGAAGGTAATGATCAAAGTCATTGATGTTAAAATATGTCTTCTTATACATAAGTATCATAAGCATGTTAGAAAAATAAGCACTTTTAATTTTATTTCCATTAGCATAAAAACTAACATGTTTCTTTATTTTTATTCACACTTTTTTTTATCTCCTTCTCGTTCTTCTCTCATCTCTCATCTAAATCCCTACTAAATAACAATTATTCAATTTAACTTGAAACATAATTGTTTCATTAATAATCATAATATTAACAAACATAATATTTAAAGTTTAATAAACATGTTACTACACAAAGAACACATAAACAAAAAAAAAACATATTTTCTCCCATTTGTTTTTTTTATTCTTTTTAAGGTCTAGAAGGCTTGGTTGTATACTAGAGGTATGGTCTCTGTGTGAGACAAATAAAGACCTTAAATACAATGTTTTCATGCCTCTAAGTCAGCTTTTTATTTGGTTTCATATTAAATAATTTATTTAAAATTTTAAGGTGTTTTTATGATAAAGACAAATCTTAATTCAAGCGTCAAGGTTGCTAGGAATTTCAAATTCAACTAGATCATTTTAATGGTATGAATTACACAAGGTGGATGGATCTAATAATATTCATGCTTATTTCATTAAAGATTTACTATATTTTTTACTCAAACTCGTTTGCACTACCTAAACCATAAGAAGATGACTTTTTTGTTGTTAAGACTGAAAGATTGAAATATAAGGCAAATGAAGTGCTCCATTGAGGGTATATTTTGAATCATATCTTCTCTAAATTAAAGTCGCCAAAATTTTTTTGGCTACCTTGGAGACACACTACAAGCAGAAAAAATCAGGTTCTGATCGTTTTTTTACTTTAAAAGTTTTTGAGTATAAGATTACCGATAATAAGTTGATTATGGATCAAGTGCATGAAATTTATTGCCATGGCTACTACAGACACACTACAAGCAGGAAAAATCAGGTTTTGATCATTTTTTTTACTTTAAAAGTTTTTGAGTATGAGATTACCGACAATAAGTTGATTATGGATCAAGTCCATGAAATTTATTGCCATGGCTACTAGAAGTAAAGAAGCAAAATGGTTAAGAAATATTTTGTTAGTTATTAAGTTGTAGTAACAATCTATGTAAACTATTTTTTAATACTGTGATAGTGAACCAACTATCTCTTAAAAATACAGTAAGATTTACAATAGTAAATCAAGATATGTAAGCATTTAATATGGATATATTTGAGGATTGATTACAAATGGAGTAATCACTATTATCTATATAAAATCTGTGAATAATTTAGTGAATTTGCTCACAAAAGAATCATCTAAAGACATGATAAGGAAAACAACTAATGGAATAAGGTTGAAACTCATTAGTAAAGATACCAGTAATGGGAACCTAACTTCGAATTAGCAAGAAGCTTATATCTAAGTTTAATAGGTAATAACAAATTATTATTTAGTATCTATTAGACATTGATAATTAATTGTGGATCCCATTCTAATATTATTCGGAGGATGAGTGTAGACTTTTAATAAAATTTAAAATTCATGTCTTATATAATAGGAAGATGATGAGTGTAGACTTTTAATAAAATTTAAAGTTCATGTCTTATATAATAAGAAGATATATAATTTCACCTATATGAATATAGAAGTAGTATTGTTTTTTACAAGAGTTAGGTTTTTTTTCTTGTAAATATTCATAAAAATAAGATTTTAACATATGACCATAATATTGTTAAATATTTATAAATCTTTTAAGAGTTTGGAGAATATTATGTATGTAGTATCTTTAATTCTACAATAAAAATTTTGATTTAACATATGAACATCAATAACTTTAATAGGATTTAAGTTATAATACCAATTAAATGTTTAAATTGTAAACTAACTTCTTGTAAATATAATTCTATCAAATAAAAGGATATTTATAACATATATAAATTATAAATAAATACAAGATATCAATTCCACGGTGAAAAGAAACACTTCCTCCTAAATATTTATGCGTTAGTTTCTATTATATAGTAAATTAAATGAAAGTTCCGGTGGACATGCTTTTCTAGTTGGCTTCCTAATACTATTATATAGATATTTCTAATATCAAAATATTAATTTTTTTTGAATTAATTTCTTAGATTTTCATAATTAAATATTTGTGACTATTAAAATAAAATTGAATATAAAATACTATTATATAGATATTTCTAATATCAAAATATTAATTTTTTTTGAATTAATTTCTTAGATTTTCATAATTAAATATTTGTGACTATTAAAATAAAATTGAATATAACTATTCAATTTAACTTAAAATATAATTATTTTATTAATATTCATATAGTTGATATAATGTTGCCATTCTAATAAACATTTTACTACATAAAGAACACATTAAATAAAACACTTTTTTTTGTCTTCTTATTTTTTTTAAAGTTTAAAAAGCTTACTTGTATCGTAGAGATATTCTCGGTATATGAAACAAATAAACCTTAAAAATAGTTATTTCAAGCCTATAAGCCAACTTTTTATTTGTTTTCATATTAAATACTTTATTTAGGATATTAAGGAATTGACATACGAGCCCTCAAACCCAGATGATGTCATCTGCGGTGAAATGAATGACGGGGAGATTGAGCCATGCATTGCTTACATTCGTGACAGCAATGGAGCAAAAAATTACACCGTGAGCCCTGAAGCCGATGTGATTAGCATGGTTGACAGCCATGGACAAAATTCTAACACAAGCAAGCTGCTCAAAGTTCGAAGCTTAAACAACCACTACACCGTGAGCCCTGAAGCCGATGTGATTAACATGGTTGACAGCCATGGACAAAATTATAACACAAGCAAGCTGCTCAAAGTTGGAAGTTTAAACAACCACCGAAACACCAGTGAATTAGGATGAGATTTCTCCTACTTCATGATGTCCCAGATATTTCATGTTAGTAGGCTCATGGTGGGAGGGTGTCAACCTAAAATTTTCCCCTGGAGATATGTGAAGCCTTACCCGCATCCAGCCATACATTTATATCAAAAAGGGTTAAAAAAGAAAGAGAGAGAGCATACATCGTATTCTCAAATAGCTTGATTTCATCGTATTCTCAACACCTCATCCTTCCATTACTGCAAACCACAAGTTACACGCAAGGAGGCTCCAAGAAACCAAAGAAGCACAAATAGGAATAAGAAATGAGCGAGGAATAAGAGTGGATCAGGCCTGCATAAATACCAGTCACTTTATATATTAGTTATGTCTCTATTTTGAGCAGAGAATTGAGGGATGTGCTATTGAATCGTTGAGCAAAGCCTCGGATCACAAGCACGATGACATCCCGTAAATGTCGGGACTGGACCATCAGGTCTACTTCATTCTCACTATCCACAACAATCCTAAGCCGATGTTGATCATTTCGGAAAAGATCCACCTGCAAATTCTTTAAGCCTTAGCTTTTCTGTATTATTGAGATAGCAAAGAGAAGTGTGTGAAGCTAAAACTCAGTACAAAAACTGTTTTTGTCATGTGGGAACATGGCAACATAAAATGAGATGCATCACCTAGAATCAGTTTTTTTTTTTTTTTTAAATAGGGGCAATTTTTAAATATTTTTTTACCATAATAAAGTATTTCTAAATTTATTTACCAAACTGCGGTACTTTGAGGCACGAAGATTCTACCTCGACAATCCATGTCATCTTTTTTTTTTTTCCTATGACATTAAAATAAGACAGTCAACATTACGTTAGACTAGTTAGATTTGTTTGTAACCTAGGTTTTTACATACATGACTAGGTAAACATCTTGTTTTAAACAACAGAACTGACACACACACACATACTGCTTCCAGATCTTGGATTCCCAGCCATCATACTTCCCAAACATGTTTTTTGTCCCTTAGCTTGTGCTTGAATTCCCAGTAACCTTAACATAAACATGGAAACATTTTCCTTCTTTTTTTTTTGTTGCAATAAAAAATTATTCTCTCTTGCTTCCATCTATCATTCAGTGCCGGAATTCCTAACAATCCTTATAACCGAAAGTCCCTACATGAACTTCAGATATATAACCACATACCTTCAAAGCTATCCCATCAATAACTTCCTTAGTCCTTACAACTGATCCACAAAATCATTGCATAGATGCTCTACAGGCCTACGCAGTCTTTAACTAAATCTTCTAATAGACATCCAAAAGCACACGAGTATCAAGATCAACAAGGGTGGATGAATTTCCAAGATACCATTTATTTTATTAACACATTATTAGTTATTGAAAGAAAAAGAATGATATGGCAAGGAGAGCCCTACACGACAAAGTTATCTTGGATTAGGTTAAAAGTACCTCCTTTGATAAATAACAACAAGAAAGTATGGTTTATTGGAAAAAAACCTCCACCTGAAATAATTGTATCCTATCATCTGCAAAACGTGTGGAGATGCAATCTATATATTGAATCTATAATCTGTACCCAATTTGACTGAATGAAAAACTTAAATGAATTCCTCCTTCAAACCATGATACCAACAAGTTTGGAACAATACTGTGTGCCACGGAACAAACCATGCAGGATGTAAACAAAACTAATGAAGTTTTGACACAAACTCACAAGAAAGGGAGGAGCATAACTTCCACGAATTTCAGTTGTTGGAAATGAAGTCTTAGAACCTGGCTTCACAACTTTCACTCGTTTTCTATTAACTTCTAGTATTCTTCTCTCAAGACTACTACCCTCTCCGAGAATCTGCAATATTAACAATGACATTAAAATGCTAGTTTATTTTTTACCATTCTCAACTTTAAGCACAAAATTGCAATGAAATGGAGAGACCTTTTTTGCAGAACAGTCTTTGTTACATAATACCTGTATTCAAAGACTTGCAGTCAGTTCAGGAACCATGTAGTAAAAGAAGTGTGTGTGTGTGAGAGAGAGAACTGCTTTGCACAGTTGAGACTATTGCAACTGTCCACTTCAAGTGCTCCTTTCATGATGAGCAATAATATATTTGATCAAAACCAAACAATAATACTAAACATGGTAATTCAGGCAATGCCCCTTTTTTTCTCTCACAGAGAACAACCACCCCACCCCACCCCCTGCCAACACAAAGAAGCTGTCCAGATTTCATCCTCCTGTCTTTCTCCCCTCAAATTAAAAGAGTTCTAGAGCATGAGATGTGTGGCATAACTTAAAATGCACCTTTACCAAGCCTTTGCAACTCAACAGTAAAGAGGGAGAAAAATCTCCAATGAAAGAACATAGTATACAAGAAACTCTTGAGATATTATTCTTTTCATGAAGTTAACACGTCCTTAGATACATGTTTTACCAAATGCAGAGTGTAGATGTACAAGAAACACAGCAACAATCGACTAGTTTAGAAGGAATTAAATTCAGCATAATACTCAAAATATACACACCTCAAATTTCACAGATCCAAGTTCAAGCTTCTGCTTAACTTCTTTTAAAACATCAGGCTCTGAAAGTTGGTCATATCAAAATTAGAAAAATAGAAGACAGACTATCACAGAATTGAGAGATTATACAGATGTGAGAAAAAAATATAAGCAAAACAATGGTATGACATCGACCACACATAAAGTTTGTCATAGGTTCGCCCTTGGAGTGGGACAAAAGAATTGGCAAGTCAAATCTTGTATGGTCATAAATCAAATTTAATGCACACATCTCATTTCTTGATCAATACATTATTTCAGTATCTTAAAGTTCGCAGCAATTTGTCCCTGGAGGACCACTCAATTAAGACTAGCCATTTCTACTTGGGAGTACTCAAGTCCAGGCAATGGGAGGGACAGTGGATTTAAGGATGTGAGAGGGATACTTCCTATTGTGTAGTCCAAAGCCTTCAGACCTCTTGTTCGAAAAAAGAAAAAAAAAGTTTTCTATTTTTAATTCAGCAATGACTAGTACAAGCCACAACCTAGCAGGTTTCAGTTAAAACTTTGGTCACAATTTCATGGCACATGATTGATATGCCAGGGATCAAATCAGAAATTTTATGAGATGGGTGTCCAGCTGAGTTCAACCAGTTTTTTTTTTTTTTGTCAGTTAAGGCACTTTCTAAATCTTTCTCCAAAAGAGCAAGGCACGTCAATTTTGTTTTCTAACAAATTTGGAAGAGCATCTATCTATCTATCTATATTAAATCTCAAGCTTTTGGATAAGCTTTAAGTATTTATCCTCAATTCCGGTGCTCCCGTGTAGGATATGCAAGTAACTTTTTATTTTTTTAATTGATAATAATATGAAGATTAATAACAAATTAGTATTTAAATAAATATCAAATTAATTAGTATTATTATTATTAGTAAACACAAACTTCTATAACAAAGATAATTCTACTAATCAGTTGTCTATTTAGAATCTCCTAAAAAACATGGAAAAATAGCTACATGCATGCATATAAAATTCTCTACTTATGACATTTTTCTCAATGCCACTTCCTCTCTTTTTCTTTATTTTTCTTTATAAAATTTATTTAATATACAATTTAGTGCAATGTTTTTCAAATTTTCTTAAGATTTCATACCCACTCCTTTTAATTACAAGTACTGTGGAATTTTTTTATTCATTTTTAATTACCAGTAGTGCTAATCCATTGATTTGTTGAATTAAATCTATATGTTCTAACAAGTAAAAAATGTTTTATTACTAATAAACCCCAACAACGCATAAGTAATCTGCTAGCAAATATACAAACTAAAAATAAAAAGAAAACCCTCAGCATTTCTTAACTTTATTTTCCTTAAACTCTTTCTTTTCAAGTTCAACAGCTTTTCATTTTGCAAAACTCCAGGAAAGTCCCTTACCCTCCCACCTATATACCCAATTATAAACCTCAACCTTCAACAATTACTGAAAGATAAATGCTATGATTCATACCAAACCCAAAATCAACAATTTCATCAGTATTATGGCAAACTCAATTATTGTAAGCATCAATTTACTATTCAAGGAACGTTCTTTTCTTCTTTTAATTGCTAATCATTTCATCTAAATAAAAATAATTTCTTCACAAGTCTAAAGATTGATTGTTATTGCGCTTGATGTTTACCTAAGGCTTCCTATTTTCCTTTCTCATAATTTCATTAGAGTATATAGTCAAATAGTTAATCAGACATTGTTTCACACATACACTAGTATTTTTTTGGTCATGCATTGTTCCACGGTTCCTTCTAAGGTTTAGGTTAGAATCAGAAGAATTATACGACTGAAAAAATTCAAATCTCGCTGAACCTGCACAAGTGACCTGAATATTTTTTTATTTTTTTTATCAACAATAACTTGCTTGCATGGTTAAAATAAATAGTGTGAAAAGGAAAGAATAAGCAGCAGATGGAATTCGTGGTTACCAACTGCAGTTGCCTCTGTTGAGGCAGACACCGGTTGCCCCTCAACACCATCTTCTCTCACAGGAGTATAAATTGCCACCAACCTGTACCCCACATCATCCACATTAGCTTCGTACATCCTTCCCACCTCCCCTGCAAGATCAAATAATTTTTCAAGTCAAATACAAGTTTATTTCAACATCATCACCTGTACTCAAGTGGAACCCAAAACCAGTAATGTAACTAAACAAAAAGAGAATATTGTCTACAAATATGTCAATGATGAGATTTTTGTTAGTGTGATTCCATCATTTTACAGAACAATTTAATGTTTTTTCAGGTGTCATACCTGGAATGGAAATCAAATCAGGACTACCAACCATCGATCTAAGCCATTGAATTCTACTTTTTCCTTCTTTTCCTCCACTGTAAACGCCTCGAACAGCATATAAATTGGTGTGAAAACCTCTTCCCTCAATCTCCAACTTAGCTATTCTAGGTATCCCTAAAATCAAACAATAATTCAGTAACTTAAACAACAAACAGAAATCACGAGGGACAAATACTTCATAATCCAAAATATAAGAATGCAATCAAGTGTTTAGCATGCAGAGAACATAGCCAACAGCAGTACAATCAAATATTAGCAAAGAAAACATCAACAAGAAAAAAAGAACAGAAACTTTCACCAGTAAAGATCTGGCATTGAAAATTTAGAATTATATCCAGCTTACATGAGACAAAAATCCAAGAAAAACTACTTGTAAAACCAAGAAAGATATAAAAAGACATAAAAGCTTCACGAGTGAATGCTTTACAAAATAACAGGATAGTTTGAATTTTGAAATACACACACACACACATATGATAGGATTTCACTTTTAATTAAACACAGATATATGCATAACATTACTTTTACAGCGTTTGAATCAAGCAATAGCACTTTAACCTGAATAGAAAGACATCCATGCATGTTGAAATAATTGCAATATATGTGATTTATAGTCAATTCTTCTAGACATTCACTTAGCTAGCAAAAACTGTCAGAAAAGTACAATTGGAGCAATTAAATCAAGAAATTGGATTGTGTTGCTTAAAATTCACAAGCAATCAGAATAAGCATCTACACGCATCTCATGGAGTGATAACAGAAGTTTGAAATCAAATCAATGAAAACAGATTAAAAATTAAAATAATTTCCACTAAGAAAAAACATAGTTTCAAGTCAAGTGATTGCACTTCAAACCTGGCAATACAGGACCAATCTCAGCATATGCTGGCTCACTTGACCTTCCAAAGACATCAGTCACAATACATTCACATTTGAAGCATCTACCAATGTCCTCTAGCCGCAACTTGTAAGAGCAGGAGCGTTGTGCAGGCAAGTGCTCAAAAGAGTTGCTATCCCCTGTCACTGATGAGCAGAACCTGCAGCATCCGTGTCAAATACAAGAATGACAATAGACAAGGACCTATGACGAAATTCAAAAGACAAGAAATATTTGTGACTTAATTGCATAAATGCCAAATTCTGAAACAGAAGCCAGCCATCAATTGTTATGCAAGCCATTTCACAAGTAACCACAAATTATGTCATGGCAATTTTGGCAGCTATTTACGTAGATTCCCAACAGAAAAAACTTCATTTAAACATGTCTAGATAGGAATTTTGGTTCCAATAAAAAGACAATCGAATTAGATTCATGCTGCTCGTGTAAGTTGAACAAGTTTAAAACACTTCAATTGTATTTACCATTCATAAAAATCCAACTTTTATTGGTTATTGTTAGAGGTTTAAAACACTTCTATCATTTTTTCTATATTTTTGCTTATGATTTAGAAAAAGAATGCCTAACAGTAAGGGTTATTGTTAGAATATCTAAACTCATAGAAGAAAAACTCTGATAAGAGAATTTAGCATTTCACCATTGATATCTGACTTCTTTCTTGTACTTGCTCCAAACAGATTGCTGGGTTTCACTCTTTGGGATCACTTCAACAGCAGTAAGTACATCACCTTCAATTGCCTTT